TCTTGTCTAGGTAAACCAGCTTCTGAAGTGTAAGAAACTGTTTGAGAGCCCTTCCTCTCAAGCCGATTCTGAAAGGTGCAGATGAAAAAGGCAGGATTGATACTCCAGCGGAAGAGTATCTTGATCTGAAATCCTACGGACGCGAACACGCAGGGCAAATTTCCTGGGAGTGGTTTCGCCTTGGAACAGCAGTGACCATCATTCCCCATTAGTTAACTCGTCGTAGTTAGTTAGACCTACTCATACTGTGTTTTCTAATCAACCATTGTATCTGAGCGACGGCAGGTGTCGCCCAAATTGAATGGTTGATCATTGCGCGTCAAGTACGAGTGCGGCGACGCGACACTTCTTTGGTCATAAGTCCCCATACCCTGCGCTTCGTGCTTGTTGTAAGCACATCGTGAAAGGGAAGTCTGTGCTGCATATAAATCGAAATTGCGTTGCATGCCGCTGGATTGTGTCATAAACTCTGACCCTAACTCAGTAATTGCTAGGGCTGTTCTGGTAGAAAGAGGAATTTGTGAGGAAAAGACAAGAACTTCCTGTATGTCGAGCGAGCCGAGGCCTATCAACTATGCGCTACGGTGCGTTGAAGAAAGTGTGTCCAACACAAAGACTACATATTTCCCGATTAGTTCACAGATGGAAAGAGGTTGTGTGCTTGTGTACATGCCGAGGAACCCAATGGGTGAGGGGTCACAGGCTCGAGGGACGTGGCACTATGCAGCACTGACACTATTTCGAAGGAAATCGAGGAGGAGCCAATGGGTATTTAGATCGTGCAATATACACATGAGCAACCCAACTTCATGTTTTTCGTATATTGGTTTGTTCAAAGCTTCAGTCAAGGTTGAGTTTGAAAACAATGCATCGTCTAAGAGTTCTCCATCTTTATCTTAACCGAACATTTATTTTTAGCGTGACGGAAAGCCATACTGCAACCGCTGCTACGGCGCCTTATTCGGTCCTCGAGGATATGGTCACGGCGGAGTTGAATCGCACACTTTCCATCACGGACAAACTGGCAAGGTACAGTGTCTTTTATGAGTCTTGAGGCAAGCTCAATTGGTGCAGGCTTATGCTATAAGAGGTCGTCAGCATTTAGTGAAACCGTCCACGTATTCTGGAACTTATAAAATAAACGCTATTGTTTTGTGGCCCCACTGATCGCAAGCTTTCTTGCATTCCGACTCTATTCAGATTCGACTTTATTTTGTTAATTTGGTAAGCTTTTTTAAGTTTCAAGAGCCCTACGTTTCTTATTGTTTAGTTTTGCAGTAATCAGTAGGATCGTCTTTATGACATTGATCGCCTAAAGCTTATGCTTATGTTCACCCATGGCTTGACCAGTGGCTTGATCTAAGCCCATAAAAGCAGCTTAGCTATGAAAGGAAGGAAACGATTGAATGAGCTTAGGTATAGGCTCAACCTCCGAAAGGCAGCTGTGTGGTTCCGCTCAACTCAAGTACATGCATAAATCTTCCTTCAAATAATTTTACGGATATCTAAAAAGGACAGTCCCACGTGGCAATAGATCGACTGGCACGGCATGTGCGTCTCGCCTCCATGTTCCGCCATCGTGCATCGGCCGAAAGGGGGTGGGGTTCCTGCTGTACAGTACCGTACCAAACGCCGGAGCTAACAGATCTTGCTAGTTTTCAGTGAAGGAGCTGAAGGGCTCAAACTGTACTGTTCTCGTTCAGAGGCACACAACACTGGGTTATCCAATGTCGGGCTTCAGCAGTTGTATGGACAGCATATTAATCCGGTCGTTAAACTGATATGAGGTCGAGTGGATAGTAGAAAACTTTGTAGTTAGGCTTCGGAACCTTAATTATGATACCAAAACACAATTGCACAGCAGAATCGAGAGCAGATCCAAGACTACCACGGTCATGCAATTTGTTGAGCAGTGGTTCATTTTGCCTGCGGTCACTGGAATGGCCTGGACGGTATCGCAATGTAGCCATCTTCCTTGCCCTCTTATTAAAGTCATGTAAGAGAATAGAAACTGAAACCGCCAGTTTTCACGGTGATGCATGCCATTTACCTTCTTTGTGAAGGCATAGTTTCCCCGCTAGCGTTCCTCCCTGTTCCTACAGTTTTCTTCGCGTGACAGTTAAACACGGTTACGTAAAACAGTTTTTCCTATCCTGAGTTTGCAAATGATCGCGGATGCGGTGGCTTCTCCTGACGCTGCTGCTGTAGTTTTCTTTAGGGTAGGGCTTTTCCCGTAGGTGGTTTTTGGATCTTCCTTGAATTTACCCAAAGAGTCAGAATCGTATAATTCTTTCCTTGGGCTCAGCGAACCTCTATGCCTCAGAGCTTGCTGAAATCATCGAGATTTTCGTTCCTTTCACTGTATGTATGAGGACAGGGGATCACGCAGCGATTGGCTTTCAATGGGTTTAGCATGGTTCAGTTTATTGCCGCTACACCTCACTGATGTATTGCAGGTTTAAGCCCGACATATTGGCAGATCGATTCAAGGTGCCAAACCGCCACACTGTCCTCTACACTTTTCCATCCTCCAAAAAGTGATCTTCGATTTTGACTGCTATTGGCATCTATCCTTTTGTGTGTATATTGTACCGCAATTTGTATTATAAATTTCCTGTTTTTTTCATGAGTAGTAAATAGGTTTTCACAGGATTTTCGCTTTTCACGAACTATTTTCTTCTAGAAAGTAGTAGCCAACTATACATCTTTGACAGGAGTTATTAACAAAGTTTATTTCACGCCAGTTTATAAACATTCCAGCCGAAATAAACATAAGTTGCATGACCTCAGAGCAGATCACGGTTGAAGTCTTTGATAAGCAAAGAAATAGAGAAACGATTTTCGATAGCACGAAAGAAGCTAGTTGTGCAAAGAGGTCAATCAGAGAGGAAGTTCTAAGGAGTAAATACTAGTCTTGCGATGTGCATCCATTGAGGCAATTTTAAGAGGTAATTCTAGTATTATAGAAATGAAATATGGCGAGTAGGCTCTTCAGGAAGATGGACTAATTGTAATATACCAGTAGTAGCCCACATTATATATGCTGTTAAAATAGCTGCCTCTTGCCTATGTAGGTCTTTCACACTATTTTATTTTTTGACCAGGGTCTCATTTTGGTTGCGGTGCGATTCGCATTTACAAACAAGAGAAGATTAGCAACGAGGAACACGGTCTGTTGTCGTCTTCTCAAATTGGGAGGGCTTTAATGTCGAGGTACAGCTCTGTTTCCCGCTTGTTGTTTCCGTGTTGTGGGGAATCATTAGACTCGGGAAAGGCGGCGTGTGAAGATGTCGCGAAATGTGGCTTCAATAATACCTAATAGGAGCCGAAAAACTGTTCCAAATGCTCTTCGTCAGTAGGTATTCCCAATGAAGGGAGTGTAAAATGGCATCTGGTAGTGTCAGAGCCAGAACGTGCAGCTTAGTGCAATTAGGCGTATGTTTTTTACAGCGGATTATTCCGGACACTACTGAAATATTGCTTGAGCACCTTTTTATAGACATAATCTCGTACCATATAAATGAGTTAATTCAAGGAGATCGGTACTCCCGGAGGTTTCTGGGATATTTTTCTTTTTTCTCGCCACTGGCACACTATTCTGCAAAGCTCAAGAGAACTGTGCCATTCGGTTTCGAGCGCGTTTTCATAACCGATAAAGGGCATTTAAACGCTTGTTGAGGTGGCATATGTAAACAGACCATTGGAGAAGACGATTGAGTTGAAGCAAGTGGGCTATGGCACAAAGAAATTTATTCTCTGTTATGTTTACGTTGCCCATATATTCACACTAATTTACGCGAAACCTTCGCCTTTCTGTCACTCTAACTGTTCCATAACAGGTATGCTTAAATCAGCCATGTAAAGTCTAAAGGTTTTCTGTTGTGGATCCTTAATATATCTCTGGAATGGATCGCTTTCAGGGTACTTACCAGTGTTCTTTTTTTCACCGACTGAGCAGTAAACAGTTCTCTGTCTCTAAAGTTTATATAGACAGTTCATTACCTGCTCAATGACCTGCAGTTTTGAACTACACCCTATAAAGCATCCTAGAAACAGGAAGTTTGCATTGGTCTGAGCCGATTACTTTAGATATGCGTAGTACCTTCAATACTTGATATCAATGGCAAAAAGCCTGAGCCTTTTTTGCCGAAGTTCAAAAAATGAACGGCATTACATCTATAAACCCTGATTAGCTCACATAACTGTACTCTTATTACTACTGACACCGGTACTTCTCCCAATATATGTGTGTATTTTAACGGCAAGCGGCAGTGGTTCCTGCTACCTTACCCTTCCACTGGGAATTCGAATCTTTCCCTTCAGAGAGCGCGAGTGCGCGAGCGGGCGCGGTGAGCGCGATGCGATTTTCGGGAAGAAGTATACACACCTGTTTTCATGGCGGCTGTGGTGTAGTGGCACATGCATGGTTCTGGAGTCGATGTTCGCATCTTTACCCGCCAGGGAACATAAGGTTTTTCTCAAAACGGGATTGGTTAACGACAAAGACTTTATGTTTTGTTTGATATAGTTCACCTTAGCTTCGTTGTTAGAGCGATCCACACAATTCTTTTCATATTCAAAGCAAAAGGTTTCGATGGTGAACCTTTGCAAAAGAAGTACTAACCTCATTGGAGGAGATTGTGAGATTGAATCGTGAGTTTGTTCATCTATAGAATATCTCACACCTAAGTTCGGAATGCTAAAGAACTGATTTCGAGAAAGCCATCTTCTAGGATACTTATTCACTTCGAAAGGATCGTATTCGTAAAGCAGGTCTTGCATTGACTCTTTTGGCTCAGAAAAGTATAAAATAGCCTAAGCAATGTCAAAAGATCTGTAGCCACTCTGATCCTTTCTGCTCTACTATCGCAATATTACTTCTAAACTATAATATAAAAGCTCGGCTAAACAGAGTAAAATACTACCTGAAACAAATCAGACCACAACAAATACAACTCGATCATATGGAATCTCATATGCAAAAAAAAGAAGAGTAAGAATCAATTTCCGTGAGTTACCGTTATCGCTACAATGTTGTTCCGACTTGTACTTGGCAAATTAGGAAGTTGCTGATCACCGATTTTCTTCTTACGGCAGAAGAAAGCCTTGATGTGTCCGATTCCGAGAAGCTCGTCAAATGCAGCACGATATTCCTTGCTTAAAATACCCTTTTCATGAAACTCTCACAAGGACGCAGGGTAACCGTCAGAGGCTTGGCCCGGATAATTCTTAGGTACCTATCTGCGAATAATGAAAGTGATAGTCCAGTGTAGCGCAAAAAAAAAGGCAAGAAAAAAGCAAAATCGACCTATTCCGAAAAATATGAGACTTCAAAAAAGTATAGAATAATAACTTTTGGACGAGAATGTGACGACAAGCGTTGCGCGAATTAGGTATTTGGACGAGCTGTCCAAGTGTGTGCGCCTTTGCGTACAGCTAGTTCCAGTAAGCTGCCACGTTCAACGTGGTAGCTTAGTGGCAAACATTGGCAGCTGGCGAGTTTTTTGCCTCCTTGAAACCGTTGCTGCTTTTTATAGGTGCGAAGAACTAATATAGAGTAAAATCGTACAACAATCGTTACCCTCTTGCAGTCATGTACTCGACATAAGGTCCTGCTTTGCCGTTATGTCTTCCTGGCAGGCGGGATGGAGAGAAAATGTCGTTGATACCAACTAATGAACAAACCTGATGGTATAGTAGACGAAGAAGTTGACAGAAAATGATACATAAGCAAATAGTCCAGCAAATGTACTCCAGTTTAGCAAATCAACATCTAGATTCAGCAATTCTCTCATATTAAAAATGACCATTGCGCTGAAGTAACCAAGCACAACAGTCATACAAATAAGGAATACGGACCGATGAGCATTCTTTGCCGTTTCGCTACCTGAAATGACAGTGTCTATCGACTCTACATGAATATACCGAAAGGGCTCCGTTGTAGGACATAGCTTCGCTACGAATCACTGACATGAAGCACTCACTCATTCGTAGTTTCCTTAAAAAGAGTATAAAGGACGCATTGGACAGTATAATGATCATGCATACTATCATGACTGCTTTAGTGTACACGCTGCTAATCGGTCCCATCATAGGTGTTGCCAAACTGCATATGACCTGTCTGCAACATAAAAAACAATTTGATATAAAAATTTAAGATCCTTACAGTCGTAATCGTTTTCTTCTCATGCAAATCATTAAACAAAACGCGTTAGATTGACATACTGTTCAGCCTTCAGATTTATCAAAACAGCCACGTCCAGTGCAATCCCTATTATACATGGTGGCAGAATCTGTGCAGCGAGGTAGCGTTTCGAATAGGATGCTAACATAGCGTTGCTGAAAAGAATTTGTCTCTGTCTTTGAGTTGAGTTGATTCAATTGAGCTTCATGAACTTATACAGGAAAAAATATTCTTCAACCTGGAGGATCGAGCCAGGGCTATGTTTCTACCGCTTTCTCCATGTTTACTTTTACTCCACACATTTCACTTCTAAATGTGGAAGATGGCATTTTTTCTGTTTTATTTTCAAATCTCCACGTGGTGGTGTAGTGGCAAGTGAAGCACTGTCACACACGCCTCGGCACGGGTTCGAAAACTAACTCGAGAGTTTGGCGGCTTGTTTCACATGAAAATCACTTTCAAAAATCACAGCGAGCAATCGCGATTTCAATACCCATAAAATTGAGGACTTGAACAGTATTGCTCAGAAATGCTTCGGTGTGATAGAGTGCTCTGCGGGGAATGAGGATGTTTTTTCTTGTCTCATGAAGTTTTAGGGATTCCAAACCTCTTTCTTGAATGAAATCAGAATCTGCTGAGCGGAGTGAGAAATTGAATTTCATGAGCATTTTTCTAGTCCCACAATGGGTACTTCTCGAGATCTTCACTCTACCGTTGCAGTGGCGCATTTGGACGATCTATAAATGGATTTATGCGCACATTGATAGAGGTACCCACCGTGGTGGTTATTAAGGTCATTTTTCGGGAACAATGAAGGAAGAGTGTAGTCTTTCTAGAATGCACTCAACTTCTAGAAGAAGGCGAAATCTTCTTTCGTACTTCTCACTTCACACGTATGTAGAAGTCACGGTTATAAGTTATAAAGAGTAGACCCCATAATCAAGGATGATCAGCCTTCGAAAAACTCACTAAAATCGCATAAGACAGAGCCTTCGGTCGAGGGCAGCTGCAAGTAAAAACATCGGCGATGTACACGCTGCGAACGTTGATGGCAGTTGGAGGTAAATGCAGGTAATTGAAGATACTGTGTCACTTCGAACACTAAAAATGAAAATATGAAAAAGCACAAAAAATCTACAAACCGAAAAAATGGTCACTAGCAATTCCAACTCCAGTTCGAGCAAGCATAACTCTCTGTGGATCCAGCAAATTGTTCGCGATTTGGTAAAGGCATCATCCTACTATAGCACATAATAGAAAGAAAACTTTCTTATTCCGCTCTTTGGCGTTATTGAAGACCCCGTATCCTAGTTATATTCATGAAGCATCTTTTCAAAGCAAATTAAATTCGACAAGGACTTCTTGATCACATCCGGCCGGATGTTTTTCGGGGCTGCTCCTGTTCTCTTCCCTTACGCTTCTAGCCTCATTGTTTCTCTTAACAGATGGCCTTGCAGTCTTCAAAGCACTTGCTCATACATGCAAT